CTTAAGCAAAACTGACATGTTTCTTTTTATAGAGCAAATTAATTGAACGTAGTCCTAATGTAAGAATAGTGTACAGAATTAACACTGCTAAGTGGCAGATGTAATGAAAATGGGTTGGATGGGTATTAGTATGTTAATGAAATGCAACAGAATGCAATGTTTTATATTGCACTGTCAAATAATCACTTTCGATTTGATTGCAAATTGTACATTATAACACATTAGTATTGATATACACTTTATTAGGACTGGGTTTGACCCACTTTTGTCTTCAGATTGGCCTTAATCCTTCGTGGCATAGATTCAACAAGGTACTGGAAATATTCCTCAGATTTTGGTGTATATTGACATGATAACATCACACAGTTGCTGCAGATTTGTCTGTTGCACATCCATAATGGAATTGAGAACTGGGGACTGTGGAGACCATTTAAGTACAGTGAATTCATTGTCATGTTCAAGAAACCAGAGATGATTCACGCTTTATGACATGGTACGTCATCCTGCTGGAAGTAGCCATCAAAAGTTGGGTACACTGTGGTTATAAAGGAATGGACATGGTCAGCAACAATACTCAGGTAAGCTTTGGCATTGACACGATGCACAATTGATGCTAATGGGCCCAAAGTGTACCAAGAAAATGTCCCTCACACCATTACACTACCACCACCAGCCTGAACCGTTGATACAAGGCAGGATGAATCCATGCTTTCATGTTGTTGACGCCAAATTCTGACCCTACCATGCGAATGTTGCTGTAGAAATCGAGACTCGTCAGACCAGGCAAAGGTTTTCCAATCTTCTATAGTCTAATTTTGGTCAGCCTGTGCCAATTGTAGCCTCAATTTTCTGTTCTTATAGGTGACTGGAGTGGCACCTGGTGTGGTCTTCTGCTGTTATCGCCCATCCGCCTCAAGGTTCGATGTGTTGTGCATTCAGAGATGCTCTTTTGCATACATCGGTTGTAGCAAGTGGTTTTTGAGTTAATGTTGCCTTTCTATCATCAAGGCATCAACAAGGCATTTGCGCTCACAGAACTGCCACTCACTGGATATTTTCTCTTTTTCGAACCATTCTCTGTAAACCCTAGAAATGGTTGTGTATGAAAATCCCAGTAGATCAGCAGTTTCTGAAATACTCAGACCAGCCCATCTGGCAACAATAATTATGTCACGTTCAAAGACACTTTTCTTCTCCATTCTGATGCTCGGTTTGAACTGCAGCAGATCGTCTTGACCATGTCTACATGCCTAAATGCATTGACTTCTGCCATTTGATTGGCTGATTAGAAATTTGCATTAATAAGCAGTTGGACACGTATACCTAATAAAGCAGCAGGTGAGTGTATAGAAATGCCAACTGACCCAGCCGGGGCTCTAACCAGCGACCTTTTTTGCTGTGAGGCGTCACCACTACTCACTGTGCCGCTTAACCTCAAATGCACATTTTAAATGTTTGTTTGGTTTGTGTTAAAGACACTGCCTGGGTATTTGAGGACATTCTTGTGCACTTGTTTTCTGTTGCTCACACACACTCAAGTTGCCAAGACCACAATTAAAGGTATTTGGATGGGCCTTTCATGTGCACTTGTGGACTTAAATCTGGGCTGGGATGTCTCATTCATCATTTTAGCTCACCAGCGTCCCATTTGTAACCATTATGTGCTTTCAGCGTGAACTTCTGCTGATTGTTCTGACTTCTATCTGATAATTAAAGTGGGATTCAGTAATGGGGGGTGTCAAGAAATTTGGGCTGCCTATTACATTACAAACCACAGGAGAGGGCAAATTCTTCAGCAGGGTATTGCTCCTCCTTATACTTCAGCCAAGTTCTTGAAAGCAAAGAAGCTCAAGGTGCTCCAAGATTGGCCAGCCCAGTCACCAGACATGTACATTATTAAGCACATCAGGTGAATAAGCATAATCTAGAGGCCTTTGTCTTTCATATAAGGCACTTGTTATACCAAAAGATCAACTGGAAGTCAAGTTGTTTTTTTGTTGTTTCTAAAATTTGGACAGGCAACAAGATTTTTTTCAGGTAGTATATAAACCACAGGTCACATGACTACACACATGGTAGAGAAAGTAATTGAAAAAATCAACCTGGAAAAATTAGATCGATTATAGGTTCTGACTGTTGATCTCGATTACCCCAGCCCTGCTCTTTTATTTGGGTAAACATTGCTTTTGCTTGTGTGATTATTACTTGACTATATCGTATAGTAATATAAATCTTAAAGCAAAAACATATACTGGTACTGAACTTGAATAGAACTCATCACACATCCTCGTGTATCCTTTTGAACTCTTAAAAAAAGAGCTGTTTTTATCAGTTTGTTTGTTTATTTGCAAAGTGGTCAACTAGTCCATAAAGGCTAATTTTCATATTGATAAAACAACAATTAGAATATAATCATAGACTTAAAATATTGTCTTTATTTCACATAAACAAGTCCAAAATTATGATGGAAAGGAACATGTTGATTGAAGTGGTGAGAAAAAAAATAACGTTGCATTTGATTGTTAAAATAAATTGAGCTTTTCATGCATTCACAAGTATGCCGACAGGTCCATTTGTGTTCATAAGCTTTGCATGCATTGTGCTGTGTGTTTTGCAGCGCGATGAGCACCATGTCCGCAGGGTGACTTTATAACAGATTCACGTTAAACAGATGATCATATCATGTTTGTGGATGTGTATTACCCATCTGATCGTGATTCGGTGTCTTGCATTCGTGCCTTCAGGCTTGTTGTTCGGTTATGGTGGACAACATATGGCTTAATGGCAAAGATAACATTGGGCTATCATTTTGAACAGAGCAACACAAGCCTGGAAGATGAAGCATAGAAAGAAAAAACATTGAATATGCAACATTTCCTGGTCTTAATTGGAGATGCACGCTATATTAGAAAGAAATATCTGTGTGTTCAGTTTGTTTATGGTTGTGAATTGCATTATGGGATGTTGATCTCTGCTCTGTTGACTCTTATTGTTGCAAATGCAACTCTAAAGTTTAACAAAGTGACTTTTATTGACATGTTAGTGGTTTGAAATTATATAATGTATAAGAAATAGCATATAGAGAAATAAGTTGTGAATTAACCGAAAATTGACCTGCAGCTTATTGCAAGGATTTTTTAGCGTAAAATACAACACCAACCCAGACAATATATCACTTTAAACTATTTAAAATGTTAATAAAAGTCACTTTTAAAGGTTAAAAGTTGTCAGAAGACAGATCAAGGTCCCATAATGTGGTTCAAAAGTAAACGGGGGGAAATAAAACATGAATCACAAAATATGGAAAATTGCTAATTTCAATAGTATATGGATGAGGCCTTTAATGCGAGCTGAGATTGACTCTCTCAGCGATACAATGTCAGACACAATGCACTCAGTGGAGCTTGTGATGTCACTGTGAGGGGTTGGACTAGGGGTGGGGTTAGGTGAGCCCATTCAGAGCTCAACAATAAGGACTGCCGATGGCGTGTGAGATGCTCTGGACAGTAGACAGGATCGTTACTGGCCCGAACGGGCCACTGCTGCCTTGTCACTAAAGTTTCATTTGCCTGTGACTATTTGTCAATTGCGTGCAAATACAGTTTTAGAATTGAGAAACAGTTTGTGTTTTCAAGCCTTCAAATGCTACCTTCTTGGTGGTTCTTATCTGATTGGATGTTGTGAGCACGTTATTACAGCAAAGAGACAGCAACATGGCGGTAACATCAAATGATGATGCTAAAGGAAAACATTTGTTTCTAACCTATTGTAAGCAGACATATACGAGGGTACACCACAACTAAAAAAATAAGTGATGTTTTGTACAGTTTGCTGTCAGTTTGGCAGGTCTATAGCCATCTTTTGTTTCAAAACACTTTGAATTTTGCTCATTACACATTTATTAACATTTTTCTAAATATTTACATTCTAGATTTACAAACATTTTGACACGTGTGTGTGTGTGTGTGTGTGTGTGTGTGTGTGTGTGTGTGTGTGTGTGTGTGTGTGTGTGTGTGTGTGTGTATATATATTTTTTTTTTATTTTTATTTTTTTCTGGCTAAGAAATAGCTATTCACTTTTTTTGGTGGGGCCAGTGAAAATATTGGCAGGGCAGGTAAAAATCTGAACCACTGGTCCGATTGGGCCAATAGAAAAAATCCTTAGCGTTGAACCCTGCCATTACCCTGCATTACATGTTAACCTGCATTGCATGCAGCTCAGATTGCATCTGCACCAGGTCTGCATCTGGACCCCTTTCGCTAATTTATGGATATTTTTTTAACAGTGTATACTGGAAAAATGTAACATTCCATTATTTTGTTATTCTGCGGTATATATAAAGATATGAATACAATTTCTCCAGATGACTTATTGTTTCTGTTTGGAAATAATTTTACTATGATTGAGATAATTATGTAGGCTCTGTAATAAACAATTTACAAGCATAGATAAATTTAATAATAAAAAAAGAATTAATACAATCTAAATAAACAGCATTTTATAATTTTTACTATAATAATTAATACAGCAATTGTTTAATGAAAATAAAAATAATTCAGTAACATTAATAATTACTCAAGTTAAAATGAATGATCACATTGTGATAATGATGCTAAAATTATATATTGGCAGACCTAGCCATAATAATATATTTTTAAATGCTTAAAAGCTATCAAGTTTCAAAATGTCTAAAATGCCATGAAAGTATCCTAAAAGTAGACCAATTGACAGAAATGTCTTGGTCATGAATTTCGTGAAAGCACAGAGAAGGTCAATTAGTGAACAAATCATTTAGAAGAGTTTTGTGAACTCTTTCTTTGAGAACAAATTGTTCTTCTGAGTTGGATGTATTCCAAGGCAGTCTTTTTGGACCCAAGCCAACTGTTTAGCATGTTTTCATAGTGCATTGAACTCTTTCAGTGTCAAAAGATCAGAAATAAAGATTAGGCTGATTGGGGTTGAAGCAAACCTTTCATCATTTTTATTTTTTGCTCTTCAGCTATGGCGGCTATCAGGAAAAAGCTGGTGATCGTGGGAGATGGAGCATGTGGGAAGACCTGTCTACTCATAGTGTTCAGCAAAGACCAGTTTCCAGAAGTCTACGTGCCTACTGTGTTCGAGAACTACATTGCTGACATTGAAGTCGACAGCAAACAGGTTGGTATTGATTTTTGTCCGCCTCCAAAGCCCCAGCGCCATGCTTTAATGCAGCTCGTCTTGCAGTGTTTACACACATTGAAGTTTGGGTTTGGTTTGAAAAATCACTGATTGTGAAACCTAAGCACTGATCTGAGATTTGCTTTTATTGATTCTTTTCTTTTTTTTTTTCTTTTTTTTTCTTAGTCAATTTTACCATGATTATCAAACAATACATAAACGTTGTTGTTGTTTTTGGTGTGTTTTATAGATGCATTATCTAAATTTAGCCTTTATGATATATATAGTTGAAGTCCGAATTATTAGCCCCCCATTGATTTTTTAAATTTATTTATTTTTTTTTTTTTATATTTCCCAAATGATGTTTAACAGAGCAAGGACATTTTCACAGTATGTCTGATAATATTTTTTTCTTCTGGAGAAAGTCTAAAATACATTTAAAACATTTTATGAACCACTTTAGGTTTAAAATTATTAGCCCCTTTAAGCTAGAAATTTTTTACGATAGTCTACAGAACAAACCATCGTTATACAATAACTCGCCTAATTACCCTAACCTGCCTAGTTTATCTAATTAACATAGTTAAGCCTTCAAATTTCACTTTAAGTTGAAGAAGTGTCTTGAAAAATATCTAGTCAAATGTTATTTACTGTCATCATGGCAAAGATAAAATAAATCAGTTAGTGATGAGTTATTAAAACTATTATGTTTAGAAATGTGTTGAAAAAAATCTTCTCTCCTTTAAGCCGAAATCGGGGGAGAAAATAAACGGGGCTAATAATTCGGGGGGGCTATTAATTCTGACTTCAACTGTACATAAAACTATAAATGTATGATAAAATAAACACTTACTAAAAACAATATTAAAACAATAAAATAAAAAATAAAATTTACTTAAAAATCTATGTTTTAGAATGATGATCTTTAAAAATATTATTATTATTATTATTATTATTATTATTATTATTATTATTATTATTATTATAAATAATAATAATAATAATAATAATAATTGTTGTTGTTGTTGTTGTTGTTGTTTGATCATTTTTATTATTATTTATATTATTAATTTAAAATGTAATATTGCCTTGAGAATTTCCTGAATACAATAAGTTTATATAGACCTGCTAAAATGATAAAATTGAAATAAAAGTAATTTTAAGAAGCATAGAGCCATATTACACTCCATAAAACAATAAAAATCACAATCCCAAAACAAAAGTATTTTGTATTTAGCAATTCATTCATTCATTTTCTTTCTGCTTAGTCTCTATTTCAGAGGGGCAACTATTCGGTGCATGTTTTACACAAAAGAGACCCTTGCAGCTGCAACCCAGTACAGGGAACCCATACACTTTTGCATTCACACACACACTCATACACTGCGGCCAATAAAGTTTATCCAATTCACCTGTACCGCATGTCTTTGGACTGTGGGGGAAACCAGAGCACCCGGAGGAAACCCAAACCAACACAGGGAGAACATGCAAACTCCACACAGAAATGCCAACTGACCCAGCTGGGACTGCTAACCACTGAGCCATCATGCTGCCCCATATTTAGCAATTACAAAAAAATATTATTATTATTATCATTATTATTATCATTATATTATAGTCATTGTTTTGGAATAGAGTTGTGAAATAAATCGTTCACAAGAGGCACATCGCGAGTATACGCAATGTTGAGTCTGGATTATACTTTATCATTTTGCACGTTTTTTTTAGGCCTGTGATTGTTTGAGGGTTTTAAAAGCAGTTAAGCATAAGATTAAGCATGTATCGTTTGTAACTTTGACAAATTAATAATGATTCATTTTATTGAATTATTTCTAAAAATGAATACTATGACATATACCTGAAAGCAGTTTGACTTGAACTTATCTGTGCTTGTAGATTTATTCTATATTATGCAGAATCAACCCAATTAATCTAAAACAATCAATTCTGTACAAATAATTATTCATCTCATCTAGTAAAATTATATTCACATCTCAGTATCTAGTATTCACATCTCTAGTGCCAAGTATAATTGAGTACACCCCATTTTGAAAATTAATATTTTTATTAATTTCTCGGTGAAAATAGGCTATGTATTTTGGCGCATTTTAACTGAACAGATTTATTAAACAGATATATTTATTAAAATAATACTTTAGTCACCAAACATATTTAGAAATTGAAAGATAATACAATGAATTCAAGAAAAATATTGCAACCTACAAAATTTATAACAATTTTTTGCTTCTCTTGTTTTTTTTTTCTTTCTTTTTTGTGTTTTAATATTTTTCTATAACATAAATTTGGGTGTACTAGTTTTTAGACTGTTATCGTAAGTTATTTTGTTAGATTAGCTCCAGATTTGGCTTCAGTACTGACCACCACTGTCACAACTGGCTTGCTTGGATTGGAAGTTGTGGAGCATCGCGTTGATGGATTTGGTCTTCAGTGTTTGAACTTTCAGCAGTGAAATTTAAACCACACTGAACTTAACTCAACTCCAACTCCAACTCTGAAATCTGGATTTTACTAGAACTTCTATGTTAACCGGCTTTGCCACAATCTACATTGTAAAGGCGCTATATAAATAACTTAAGTTGAATTAAATAATCTAATGTATATGCACAAATTTAATATTGTATAGCTTCCTATTAAAAATCCGAATAGAAAAGAGAGATTTAGAGGGGTGTACTTATATATGCTGAGCACTGTATTGTAGAATAAAAAAATATCGCAATGTTAGATTTTTCCAATATCGTGCAGCCATATTAAAAATATATTTTAGTAATTAATTACTTTTTATTAAAATATTGGAATGTTGACCTGGCAAGCAAGTGAAATAAACGTACTGTAAAGTAAAATAAAAAAAACAAATTAAAATAACAAAATCATATAAAAAATGACTAAAAGTAAATAATTTGTCTAAAATTAAACGAAAAATAACAACAACAAAAAGCACTGTTTTATAATGGCTGACAATGAAGGGCTCTGCTAGATCTCCCATTGCTCTGGTGTTTTCCGTCTCTGACCACTGTGAAATCTGAAGGGGCCTTGGCAAAACAGGAAATGGCTGTTCTCTCTGGTTTCCTGCCTGCAATTTTCTCGCCTGGTGTCGATGTGACTCTCCATCCACATAGAGCATGATTAAACACACCACCTCATTTCCTCATAATGGAGGACGGCGTTTCGGGAAGGTGGTCTCATTCTGTGTCTCCAGCACCAGATATGTTGCAGTTAAGAGTTGGACTGCTTCTGCTGTAAAACCCCTCTTGCTCTCTCAGTGCCATTACACTGTCAAAATCTAGAGGCTTCTATATATACACGTCTATAAATATAGAAGTGGTGATTGAGCATAAATCTGTACAGCCCTCGGGAACATTGTCTTCTATTCTGACCCTGTGGAAAAACATACATTTACACCATCCGATAATGTATAAATATGGGGTAAAATTAAATTAATAACAACAATTAAATAATTCAATTATTACCAAAACTACACATAAATAAAAAACGGATAAATAAGTAAACCATTTTATTAAAAAAAAACTTTATTTAACATGCATGACTTTTTTTTTGTTTATTCAATTGTTATTAAGGACTATTTAGATACTAAAAAAGATATAAAAATATGTACATAGAAAGACAATAAACTCCAAAAAGTAATAAAAATAAACTGCCTTTGCGAATAACTAAAATAAAACGTAAATATAAAATTAAAAGTGTCTATAGATACACTATGTATGGCTTTCTTTTTACTATTTTTTTTATCATGTAATTATAATATAATATTATAACAATAGTAATGTTATTTCATCATTTATTATATTCTCGATGTGTTTGTACCTGCAAACCCTTACATGCATTTAAAATGCTTGTTTGGCAATGTTTTATTAATTGTTTTAGTTTGTTCTGTTATGGCTGTTGATGCTTGTTGTAAGGCAACCTTGGGTGTCTAGAAAGCCGCCATTTACAAATAAAATAAATTATTATTATTATTATTATGTAAATAAAACTTAAAATGACAATCACAGTAAAAGTTATAAATAAATAGTCATTTTTTTGGAAATGTAACTAATTAAATATCATTATCTGTGTCTATCTTTATTTATAGCTTAAAGGGTCTAATCATTTTGACCTTAAAATGTATTTTTTAAAAATTAAAAACTGCTTTTATTCTAGCTGAAATAAAACAAAGAAGACTTTCTCTAGAAGAAAAAATATTATCAGACATACTGTGAAAATGTCCTTGCTCTGTTAAACATCATCTGGGAAATATTGAAAAAAAGAAAAAAATTCAAAGGGGCCTAATAATTCTGACTTCAACTGTATATTTATATATTTAGCCGTGCAATACTCTGCAATATCAGAACTCGTACAGCCTCTTCACTCCTGTGTATCACTCTGCCCACAGTGACAGCAGTTAAATAAACTCTCTACAGCTTGACAAATAACTTAATGTACTTTTGAGGCTTTTTTAGGCAAGAATGTAGTTGTTTAGACTGCAACTATACAGTTTATTTAAAAGGATAGTGCCTGTTTTGAATATTCATAATTTTAGAGATTCAACGAGCCTGTCATACTGAGTTGAGCAAACATGTTTGACATTCCGCCACAAGATGGTGACAGAGACCGCATAATAAGCATAATCACCTGTTTTGTCATCACTTTAGATATTACACTAGAGAATCATTCAAATACTAGCTCTAACGTGACATTTGTGAGTAGCAACGGTTTCTGCTGTTCTGACATCAGCTGCTAATGTGAATGAACGTGGGAAGAAAGTAGTCCCTCGTACAAAAGGGTTTTTGAGACTCTCCGTATTTAGGTGTATAGGTATGTATCTATGTTAGATATTTATTTCTATTATTAGATGTTTGTTTACTTATTTATATACATCTAAATGCTATTTATTAGAGGTTTGTTTTAAATGTAAAACTAATTTTGTTTGTTGTTAAACAACATTTTGTCTCTAATTAACCTGTGATCTTCATAATCATTGTAGCAGTTTATGCACATTTGATGACACCTAGAAGCACTCTGGAACTCTGGAAGCATGTTCATGACACTGAATGAGAAATGGTCACAAAATTAAAAATATATCCCAAGTTAACCAGTCAGCTCAATTTTTGTATTACAGGTCAAACCGACCCACAGAATGACATAAGAGCTACAGTCAACATGAAATCCAAATTGGCTCTATTTACTTTAATGTTCCTGTTCTTATTACAAATGATTCATCATGCACTACATGTTCCTCTAAGAGCAAAAAGACATTTATCTTTCTCCAAAATGCTCCTTGGAGCTGCTATGACATCCATTTTTTTTTTTTACTGAGGCCATCTATTCATTGGTTGTGAAAAATGATGAGCTCTCTGAAACATTATGGGCTTTTATATTCCTCACCTGAACAGCCGATTACACAGTAGATGTTCAGATGTGAGGAAAACACAATCTGCTGTCTGACGAGAGGTTGTGTAATGATGTGACTCAGTCCTGCAGGAGAGCAGACGGGATGCTGTTTGATTCCCTCTAATCATCCCTTTAACTAATTCACTTCATCTGGATTGTGATTGGATAAGCTGATCCTGCCGCTGTTTATATGTGACACATGCGAAGGACTGATACTTAAGTTCATTTGTTTTTTGGACAATATTAGGAGCATACTGTGATGCTGTTGGCTGATTTGTATGTGAACAGCTGTGATCTGACATGATTTGAAAGTTGATTAAGGAATTTATTTTGAGCGATATCTTCTGTGACCGATTAAAAGCTCTGATAAAATAACATACTTTTTTATTTGAAAGTTTTTCATTTTTTTCCACACATTCAAATTCAAGCCATGCCGGTGATTGGGCCCTTTTTTTAAGACTTCAGGCATATGATTTACAAAATTTGCATAGAAATCTTCCTAAAAGTTAATGTACAGCAGAATAAATGTTAATTTATTTACTGATTATGGCTCACATGATAGGTTAATAGGTTCATTAAGTCCATTTAGTTAGCATTATTATTATTATTATTTATTATTATTATTATTATTAAATTTTATTATAAATATTATTTATATATTATTATTATTATTATTATTATTATTATTATTTATATATTATTATTATTAATTTTATATATATATATATATATATATATATATATATATATATATATATATATATATATATATATATATATATATATATAATTAAATATTATTTATTATTATTTTTTTTTTAATTGAAAATATATATTTAAGTTTTATTTAGTTTGTTCGAAAAGAATTAGAAACCCAGTACTGGGAAACACCCAGACCATCTCCCAGTCACACACGCACTACGGCCAAATTTGTTTACCCAATTCACCTATAGCGCATGTCTTTGGACTGTGGGGGAAACCAGAGCACCCGGAGGAAACCCATGCCAACGTGGAGAGAACATGCAAACTCCACACAGTAATGTGAAATGACCCAGTCGGGACTCGAACCAGCGACCTTTTTGCTGTGAGGTGACAACGCTAACAATGAGTCACTGTGCTGCCTATTAGAATAAATAGAATTCTAAAATTATGTGTTGAGAATTGTCCTGAAGAGATCTACAATACATAAAACTAAATAACAACAATAATAATAATTCCTTACATTTATTACAGTTAAATAAAAAGAAGTTGAGAAGATAAACTAAAAAAAAAAAAGGTTTTGTAGGTTTAGTGGCACACGCACACTGCTGTGAAAACTGCTTGTTTTATGACCTTACTTCAACACTGCCCCTCACAGGAAGCCACTGGCAAAATTGAAATTTCAAAAGACCCTGTTAAGTATGATCGCTAAGCATGAAGGCATCTCCATGTAAACCACTTTAATTGAGTACAATGTACAGTAGGCTATACTCATGTCATTGTACAATTGTACAATGTCTGTCCTCTTAAACCACACAAACCCGTATACACACACTCACAAACACTCACATGTCTCCAGCTCAGTTGTTGTCTAAAGTGTAGTGGTTGGGACCCTTCTAAGGTATAATGTGACGTCAAGTGGGCTGTGCTGAACACACAAGGCTCTCCGCTGAGCTTAAAGTCATTCTACCCAATTATGATCTGCAGGTGGAGCTGGCATTGTGGGACACAGCAGGACAGGAGGACTATGACCGTCTCAGACCTCTGTCTTACCCAGACACAGATGTCATCCTCATGTGCTTCTCCATAGACAGTCCCGACAGTTTAGGTAAGTATTTTTTTTCTTTTATACAGAGAATCTTCTTCATATCTTGAATTCTGACTCATGCGTATTGTTCTGAGGCCACGGATAATCTTTCTTACTGGCAGAAAAGGATTGTCTGAATCATCCGTGTGTGCAGGAAGTTCCAGTGTTGTGTCTAAGAGTCGAAGCGCCTCATGATAACTCTTGTGTCGGTGACATCACTGTCCTTTATCTCCCAGCAGCTTCCTGAAGGAACATCCTGCTGCTTTCCCAGATGCATTGAGTGTCAGGAAGCTTGAACAAATTTAAATCTTAAAGGGATAGTTCACCAAAGAATGAAAAACACTTTAGGGCGGCAAGATATTCGACAAATATTACACTGCTATATACGATAAATATATTGCAGTATAATTTCACCAATTGACTTAAATAGCTCTATTTGTCATTACTTGGGATGATTTTGTTGGGGAGTGAAATATAAATACATATTTTTATGTAATTTATTATATACATACAGTTGAAGTCAGAATTATTAGCCCCTTAAATTATTAGTCCCCCTTTTTATTTTTCCCCCAATTTCTGTTTAACAGAGAGAACATTTCTTTAACATATTTCTAAACATAATAGTTTTTATAGCACATTTCTAATGACTAATTTATTTTATCTTTGCCATGATGACAGTACATAATATTTGACTATATATTTTTCAAGACACTTCTATACAGCTTAAAGTGACATTTAAAGGCTTAATGAGGTTAATTAGGTTAACTAGGCAGGTTAGGGTAATTAGGCAAGTTATTGTATAACAATGGTTTGTTCTGTAGACTATTGGGAAAAATAAACAGCTTAAAGGGGCTAATCATTTTGACCTTAAAATGGTGTTTAAAAAATTAAAAACTGCTTTTATTCTAGCTGAAATAAAACAAATATGACTTTCTCTAGAAGAAAAAATATTATCAGACATACTGTGAAAATGTCCTTGCTCTGTCAATTATCATTTGGAAAATATTTAAAAAAGAAAAAAAAATTAAAAGGGGCTAATAATTCTGACTTTAACTGTATGTAATAAACTACAGTCATAAATAAACAGAATGAAGCAAATATTAAAGTGAAATAAATCGTGCTTTATTGATTCTGGAGAGAGCAGCAGTATTCAGATACAGAAATTGAATAGTTAACTGTAAAATAACTCTGTATAGTCCATCATATAAATAATTAAATAAAATAAAAAAATCTTTTTGCACTACTCACACAGTCACAGGTTTTAAAACCACATGCAGATGATAAACTTTCACTCTATTATGGTTCAGTTCTGCAGTGTCCACAAATCTCCTGTATTTTGACCTGTGGTTTCTGGCCATTTATAATTCCAACTCAACATTGCATATGTGACTATTGCGGATGCACACATTGTGATATCAGTGCTCAAAAGAAATATTGTGCAGCCCTACTTCTCTTGTTTAAAACCTATTTGAATTTCTTTCTTTCCTCTGGTTAACACAAACGATCATACTTTGAAGAATGCTGGTTTCTTTCTTCTGTTGCACACAAAAGAAGATATTTTGGACAAAGCTGAAAAACTAACATTTGACTTGCGTAGTTGGAAAAACACATTGCATGGAAGTCAGTGGTTACCGGTTTCCAACATTTTAAAAAATATCTTCTTTTGTGTTCAACAGAAGAAATTAAAGATTTAAAACCACTTGGAGAATAAATAATGAGGGAATTTTCATTTTTTAGTGAACTATCCCTTTAAGCTTCATTTACACTAATGCATTTCTTTTGTTTTAACACATCGAGTTTAAAATGGAATCAATGCTCATTCCACCATGTTTCCTAAAACATTTCATAAAATGGTGTAGACATTTAGAATTTGTTAGTGATTAACGAGGGACCACTGTATTCAGAAAAAAATGTGTGAATTTTTATTATAGAAAACACAAATGACCAAAAGAACAATTTGTCTATTAAATTGTTCTGAGAGAGAATAAGCCTCATTTGATTTGACAGCATATCCTTTCATTTTACCAGAATATTATAAAACTTCTAAAATGTGTATATACTATGAAAAATCATGTGAAAATTATAATGATATTTGTAAAATTACTTATAATGTTGGAAAAACTTTATATTTATTTATATTTACATATAGATTTGAAAACTGAAAACATTTCATCATTATTTTTACATTGGTCTTATATATATAAATAAAAAATCCTTATTTAAAGGCAGAGAGGCTTGACAAGAAACTGCAGCACTAGCAACCATAAAATCTTATGTATTTTTCAATATTTGAAATGTAAATATTTAAAATTACTTTACAGTTTGTTTGATACCAGGGGCATTGCTATACATAAAGCTCTACTGGGGCACAGCCCTCCTCCAAGAAATAAAAATAAATAAATAAATATATAGTCTAAGAAAAAAAAATCTATAATTGTAAATAAATAACAGTGCTGTTGTGATTATACAATTATTATTCTAGATAATAACAATGATTTCAAAAATAATGATTTCTTTCAACAGAAATCAATCCTAAATGTAACTGGAAAACAATCTAAAGAGACAACTAGAGTGATGCTAAGAGAATTTAAGATTTTTTTTTGCTTGAATATAATTTTTTAGAACAAAATTCTATAGACAATTCCATAGAATACAAAAAAAAATATTTGTTTTATAGAATTATTTGATGTGTGTTTCTTAGACCTGACTGGCCGAGAATTAGGTTTATTAATTCTAAGCTCCCTGACTTCATCCCTCCTTTCTGCTTCATAATAAAAGAAAATCTATCAGGAGCCACACAGTATAAAAAAGATCACCATCATATTGTTTAAACTTTGTTTTGTCGACTTGCAAAGCTCACGGTGTGCCAGTAAAGACAGTTTTACAACACATGAGCACCCTGGCTATTTTTTCAGTGTGCATGTTCACAACCGTACCGGGAGTAAATGTAACCTTACTAGTGTGTGACCAAGTTCAGAGCTGAGACTCCTTGTCAGAATTCAGCCGCATGATTCAGCAGAGTTCAAGAGATCAATATTACATAAAGAGCGGGTGCTGTAATTTCCCACAGCAGTGAAAGCAGTGAATGGGACCAGCTTTAGTCCTCCAAGACTCCAAACATGAAATGCTTTTCAATAATAGGATTGCAGTTGGGGCAAATCCCTCATCTCACTCATACTTTATTTGGGTCACAGTCACATTACAAAACGATGTTCTATAAGAGCATATATAAGTATTATTTAACCACGTCATAGATTTATTGCTCATATTTTTCTAATTACAGGACTTACAGTTTGGAAAAACTTGACTATTTATTATATTAATATAGTATTTAAGACTTAAATAAATATATTGTACAAGTTTACACACACACATTCTATTTATAATACACTAATAAAAATGTTCATGTATAATATGTTTATACATTATAGATGTGTTTGTAAAGCTTGAAAAGCTATTGTATAATAATGTTATTATATTATATTATATTATATTATATTATATTACATTTATATAATATTATACTATATTATGTTATAGTCTGAGAACACTTTCTTAAAGTTATAATATAATATAATATAATATAATATAATATAATACAACATAATATAATACAATACAACATAATATAATAAAATAAAATATAATGTGGGGTAGAGCGGGGACGAAAGTAACAAAGTGTTTTTCTCAAACCCCTAAAGACATGATTTCCAGGCTATAACAGCACAATCAGCATGCACCGCTTGATGGAGCTACCAAATATCATGTGATTTTTTTGGGACCGTAGCTCCATTTCTGTTTTTAAATGCAAAAAGTAAACCACTGTAGTGGTTAAATTTTTTTTTTTTTTTTTTTTTTTTTTTTTTTTTTTTTTTTTTTACAAGTTGTGTTTCTCTTTTCATGTGTCACAGTAATGATCAATCTACGAGTGATTTAGTGCAAACACACCCTTTAGTTAACAATATCAGAGTTAAAAAGTAAATCAGGTTTAAATGGCAAGAGTTCCTGTGGGGATGAAAGTAACACTGTTATTAATGTCCCCCTTATAATAGCCATAGCTTTTTTTATTTGCTTACATTAGAGTTTGCAGTGTTCAGATTCAGATGTTTAAAAAAATTGCCAAAAATAATAAAACAAAAATATTCCAAAATTGTAGAAAATCTTAAAATTTTGCATTGCTTTCGAAACATTTAATGGAAGTGAAATTTAAAATGAAAATTCCATTCAATATTTTTTTGCAAAGATAAAAGACAGAATATGTTTGCAGTTAACATCAACAAAGTCACAGTCAGATTTATTTAAAATAAACTAGATTAAGCCAGTACATCTAGCAGATATTGTTGTTATTATTGACACACCCGTGCGCTACTTTTGTCCAGCCTATGTGTTCAAATGTACCAATGTGCAACTTTTGCTCAGAGTGAAGTCATTGGAGTCGTTCTACATTAATACAACAAAACACCTGATTTTGATAGAGCACTGTTGTGAGTTAGGCACCACAGAAAAATGTATATTTCTGCTAAAAACATTATCTTTTAAAATTAAGGTTTTATGAAAAATCTAAACTTTTACTCCCCGCTCTCGCCTAACTGTTACAAATTACAGACTCCAAAATAAATTTTAATTATTTACAGAAATAGGTCCACTTTATATTAAGTGTCCTTAACTACTATGTACTTACATCAAAAAATAAATACAATGTACTTACTGTGTTTATAATGTATTTGAGAACACTTGTGGTACTTTTGAGTTGGGATAGAGGTTGGATTATGGACAGGTTTGGTGGCATGGGTAGGTTTAAGGGTGGGTTAGGGTGTAAGGGATGGTCAACAGTGTATTTACAAATGTAATTACAGAAGTTAATTACAGATGTAATTACATACATGTATTTAATCAAGCATAAGTACAAAGTAAATACATGTATTTACACAATACATTGTAACAAACTAATAATTCCTGTGTAAGTACATATAAGTTAAGGCCACTTAATATAAAGTGGAACCCAGAAATACAATATAGTCTGAGAACAGTTTTTTTCTTAAAGTAATAATGGATTTCTGTAAATTATTCATTTTTATTTTGGATTCTGCAATTTCTTACATGCAATACATTTAATAATCTGTGATATTTCTATTTACTCAACTTTTATATATTTATATAAAATGTATAATAGTTTTATGTTTATAATTCAGGGTTTGCAAAATTTCTAAATCCCTGGTAGCCTTTTAGGCAGGGACTCTTGATAATTTAGTAACCCAAATTAAATTCAAGTGGTCCAAATAAAAAAGACATTTACTAAATAAAAGTAAATACATAAATTTAATAAATAAAAAGGTTATAACTGTATTCATTATATGCATACAAATATACACATATATATTTTTTTGTAAATAACCAAAATTTATGTAATAATAATAATAATAATAATTATTATTATTATTATTATTATTATTAATTTATTTCAATTTACCTTTATTTATGTTGCGCTTTTACAATGTAGATGTCAAAGCAGCTTCACTTAGAATGTTATTGTAAATTGAAACAGTGTCATTATTATTATTTTATTTATTTGATTTGATTTTGGATTTTTTTTTTCTTTATTTATTTATTTATTCCTTAATAAAATCATGTGACATCCTAGTAGGCCCACCTTTATCATTTTATTTATATTTATCTATTTGTTACCAAAGTGCCAGTTCTTTTGACAACACCTGTTAGTGCAGATGCAAATTCAAACACATGTTGATAACGACTCCTCGACCCATGATAATTACATACAACAAAATTACCCAATTTGTGAGATAATGCAAAAGCATTGAAACATGCGGTATGGCTATATTTTTCCTTTCATTAAGATGTCTGACGGGCAGGGGGCATACATTTTCAGTAACTCAACTGGAAAACATAATAGCCCCAGTATGTCAGTCTAGCAATTGTGTAAACTCTGTAATTCTTTGTTTCTTTATTTAAAATAATCAGTCTTAAATGTGTGTGTGCTTTCACAGAGAATATCCCAGAAAAGTGGACGCCGGAGGTAAAGCACTTCTGCCCCAACGTTCCCATAATCCTGGTGGGCAATAAGAGAGATCTGCGTACTGATGAGAACACACGGAGGGAGCTGACTAAGATGAAGCAGGTGTGTGTGTTACTGTACTGTAGGGAGTCCCAATAAAAAGCTCTTAGCAGCTAACATTACTGTCACTCTTGATGGCCTGGTCATTATCATCTGTAAAACTCCTCGAACTCAGGCCATCAGTCCAACTTCTAATACCCAATGACTGATGTCCTCTAAATAATATGTCAGTGATAATGGGCAGAGGGCCACCATTAAATTGATCCAGTTAGCAATAATAAAAGTGGTGTTATGTCACAAGTAGGGTTGTAACGGTATGAATTTTTCACGGTATGATAATCGTCTAAAACAATACCACGGTTTGACGGTTTCGCGGTATACGGTATGTTACAAATGTTACAAAATAATAGAACAGTGAAGCAAATTTGACTTTTTCCAAATAATATATTTTTAGTTACTATAAACAACACCACTTACAATGAACAAATAAAAATAAGAAAATAATAAATAATGTGTCAAAGTCCAAATAAAGTCCAAATAAACATGGTGCAAATCCTCAGTAAAAAATAGATATAAATATTTACTATACTTTAAATAGTTACATAACGAAACTAGATTCAATATGGAACATCCTTAGGTTTTATGTGCCAGCATGGATATGGTTGTCTATGGATATGGATATGGTTGTCTGCAATGCAGACAAACAGCTGCATCTTCATTTACGTCTTTTGAAAACAGCAAGAGCAGCAGTTCGTCTTTGCTGTGTCACTGTTTTGTCATGTTTCTGTGCTGCTGTGCATGCAAAAGTACTTAGTATGAGAATTATTTCATGCAAAACTTTTTTTTTGCGTTTTATTTAGCCGCGCATAAATGTATGTATCTCTCATTCCGTGTTGTTCAAAAAGCTTGGTCCACGAACAAAAGCGAAACCTATGCTTATTGGTTGTGATATAGCGAGTTTGAACCAATCTGGGCATGGAGGAGGGACAATGCATCAATGTATCATGTCTGATTTGTCCGGAGACACAGTGACGAGCGTTTCTTTGTCAAATCAGCGTTGTCAAATGTTGATGACGTAACCGCACTGATTCCGGAGCCTCTGAAAGTCCGCGAATGTTATGTGATACAGCACTGGAAAGCTGAGATTCTTTTCTTTATGCCAATCTTTGAATTGTATGAATCGGATCAGCGGATCAAAAGTTATTAAACATTTAAGAGCAATACTTATTTTTAGCCGCGGGCGGCTGTCTCGGTCTTTAAGGGTTAAAACCGTTGATATGCAATTGTTCATGGTATGATAATCGTGCACGTTCAAATCGTGGTAAACCGTCATACCGGTATATTGTTACAACCCTAGTCACAAGTCAACATTCTGACATCCATCATTCATGAAGTTCAGACATTAATTAGTTGATTCATTTAAATTGATACACTTTATCGATAAGTTTGGACATCAATGACGGAATATTGAGTAGGGGGTCGGGCTTTCTTATCATGCATCATTTCTTCATAACAAACTAACTGTAAGATGAGCGTGGTTAAGAATATTGTGGCTGAAACTGTCAAACTGATGTCAAACACAAAAGCAAATGATCAGACTTCGATTGAAGATTACCAAAATAAATTTTTTAATGCATTGCACATAACTTGCACATATTATTTGTTCTCCTAAGAACAATAATCTAAGCACATTTTAAATATTGATTTCACATGAACTTTATTATATGCATGTATCTTGTAGACTTTTGGGAAGAAAGTAACAAAAACTGTTTGCTCACATGGACACAAGCTTGTACAAGTTGCCAGTTTGTACATCTGTGATGTACAAGTTGACATGTTGTATATTAGTAGTCATTACTTTGAATTATTAAAAATAATCAACTATTAATTCTTTTTGCAATGCAACCTTCTTTTTATTTACAGTAAAAACATTTTTCTTTGGGCGAGACATGTTTAGTGTAATTTACACATCACGTCATCCTGGTTTCAGTGTCAGTGAAGTTAATACAGTTTGTACTATTAAACTTAATGATTATACAGCTAAAACTTTACATTTTTAAATATTTTTGGTACCTAAATTCCAGTAGGGCTGCACGATTTGGAGAAAAAAATTCTAATTGTGATTTATCTGAGGAGGACGCAGTGGCGCAGTAGGTAGTGCTCTCCCCTCACAGCAAGAAGGTCACTGGTTCGAGCCTCGGCTGGGTCAGTTGGCGTTTCTGTGTGGAGTTTGCATGTTCTCCCTGCGTTCGCGTGGGTTTCCTCCGGGCGCTCCGGTTTCCCCCACAGTCCAAAGACATGCAGTACAGGTGAATTGGGTGGGCTAAATTGTCCGGGGTGTATGAGTGGAAATGAGTGTGTGTGGATGTTTCCCAGAGATGGGTTGCGGATGGAAGGGCATCTGCTGCGGAAAAACATGCTGGATAAGTTGGCGCTTCATTCTGCTGTGGCGACCCCGGATTGATAAAGGGACTAAGCTGAAAAGAAAATGAATGATTTATCTGATCAATTGCTGTTGCAATTTAAAATGTGATATACTATAATTTCATAAAAGAGCTGCAGGTTTGATGCAGTGGTTTTAATAGCACCAAAGAAAGACCAGACATAATCTCAAAGTATGCTACACTATGCTTGTTTATTTATTTTATTTTATTTTTTATATTTATGTCATTATTTTATTTTATTTTATTTTTTTATTAGAATGTACAAAAATCATTTTAAAATAAAAAAATTAAGAAAAAAAAAACTACAGTATTTTACATTCAATTAAATAAATTATAATTATATGTAAAATAATATATATAAATATATAAAACCTTTATAACCTTTACATTTAGATTGTTTTACATTATTCATATTGATTTCATGGCATTCACGCTGCATAGACGATGCTTTCCATACACAATTTTAGATTTTACTGTACATACCATTCTGGTATTAAAATGTATAATTTATAAATATATTTATTTGTAATACAAGTTTGTCCTTTAGCTTTGTGTATAATTAAAGATTTGATTTACTACTACAGCTCAGAACAATGTTTTGTGTGTAATTTTTAGATTTTGAGGCAAGTAGCCATGTAAAAATGGCATAAAGTACATCCAGGATGGGTGTTTTAGTAGAATAAAGCCCTTCAGTCTTAAACAACAACCCTCCACTTTGCTGATAAGCCTCTCAGGCTTTATTCTGTGATAACAACCTCTTGAATGTACTTTTAATCTATCATGGAAACTCTTGTGTTTTTCAGGAGCCAGTTAAAATAGAAGAGGGCAGGGACATGGCTAACCGCATTAGCGCCTTCGGCTACCTGGAATGCTCAGCTAAGACTAAGGATGGCGTGAGGGAAGTTTTTGAAATGGCCACCAGAGCGGCGCTGCAGGTTCGCAAGAGGAAGAAGAGGAGCGGGTGCTCACTGTTGTGAGAGAAGCTTCCGGTATTTTCCAGAATGATCTCTCAGATGACCAGGAAATACCAAACTCTACACACACACACACACACACACACACACACACAAAAAATATGTCTTGACCAAACAACATAAATACACTGGACTGTATGTCACATTTCATGCAAACCCACAGGTGGAAACGGAGGAAAGTAAATAAAATATGCATTAAACAGGATGGCAGGATATACACGCACATATAGGTATACGTTTTCCTGTTTTTTAGAATAACTTGTTTTCCAGTTTGTACTGTATGGATGGCATCAGTCATAATGGTATGTATTTTTGCACATTTATCAACTGACCATTATAACTGAATCTGGTAAGAGGACATTTTTACATTTTAATGTAATCAAAACTAATATCACAAAATGGAAATCTCTTAATAGCACAGAATAATTTGGTAATAAAAACAGTGCCTTCATGATCATTCCCTCCACAATTTGAATGTATAAAAAAGTGCAAGTTTTGAGCTTCTCCTTGACTTTAAAACTCTTTTCTAGTAGTGAATAACTCTATGAGCCAATTAAATGTGTTTAAAGGTGCAAGCTATCCTGTAATAAAGAGTATTTCTAGCTTTTGCATTACCCTAAGTAAATACCAATTACATGTCATCACATTTTGAAAGCTTGGTGAGGTCTAAAAAACCATCTGCTAACCGGTGGTGTGACATTTTTCTTTTATATTTTCTGTTTGTCGTCCACACGGGCGTAAACATACATGTGTGCATGTGGATTGAGCTGTGTAGATCCTAAACTGGTTGAACCTGCCTGAATACTCGTCACTGAGCTCATGCTGTCACATAATCTGACTTATTGTTCTCACATTAGCCGTCTTAAAGGGACAGTTCACCAAAAATGAGAATGTGCTGTTTATTTATTTACTTCAGGCCATCCAAGATGAAGGTGCTTTTTTTCTTGAGTGGAACATCAAAGGTTTTTTGCTGAAAATGGCTGCCAAAAAAAAAAAAAAAATTACCTTTGGATATTGATGATACCATTAAGGTTGGTTTATAATGCTTTTTATTTAATCCTAAAAACTCCTCAATGTTCTTCTGAATAAAATGTCATCATCTTTTCAAATGGCCAGAGGGAAGTGGTAACCGTTCACTAAATCCTAGAACAGGGATTCTCAAACTCTGTCCTGGTGTCCTGCAAAGTTTTGCTCCAACCCCAATCAGACATCGGGGCTAGTTAATCAAGCTCATTATCCCTGATCACACTGCACTCTTCACCCCATAGACTTACGCATGCAAATGCGGCAGATCGTGTGACAAGTTTCGCAGTTCACTGCATTTGTAAGTTCAAGTTTGGTGAACTCTGATCTGTGAAATTGCATTATATGAATGCGTGAGACCAATCGAAGATCAAAACATGACCTCTTTGGGCAAAAATGTAAAATATGGACCAGTCACTTGCTTTGTAAATGTCTGATCATCTTGCTTAATCCAGTTTCTTTTCGCAGCTATACAACAGAATTTAGCACACACAAACTCTAATGTGTAGCATTAATAGGCTTTCTAGAAACATCCTTGCAGGGGTGTTGAGGCAAGTTGGAGCTAAAATCTGCAGGACACTCGTCCTCCTTGTCCAAGTTTGATAGCCCCTTACCTAGAACGGCAAAATTCCCTGTGAACATGCAAATAACAACAGCATTACTGAACAATGAACCCACAGTACACCTAAACAGTGCATGATGACCTTTTAAACATAATAATAGTGAACAGTGTTATATTAAAAACAAGTCTTTTCTTGTTGTTCCAACCTTTTGTTTTGTTAGTTTTAAGTGTAAAGAAATAAAATAAATAAGACGCTATATTAAATTATATACTATTATTATTATTAATATTATTATTACTTTAGTTTTTCTGCTGTCATTCCCCATATTTAGATGTTACATTTAAACATGTTCAAGAGTTGTTACTAATGGGTTAATGTGCTTATCCAAGTAAAGTCAAATAAAATATTTTATTTATACACCCTCACCGGCCTCTTCATTAGGTACACCTTACTAGTACCAGGTTGTACCCCGTTTTGCCTTCAGAACTACCTTAATCCTTCTTGGCATAGATTCAACAAGTTACTGGAAATAGTCCTCAGTGATCTTGCTCCACTGACATGATGGCATCAGCAGTTGCTTATATTTTCTCTTTTTTTGGACTATTCTCTGTATGATATAGTTGTGTGTGAAAATCCCAATAGATCAGCAGTTTCTGAAATACTCAGACCAGCATGTCTGGCACCAACAACCATGCCACATTCAAAGTCACTTAAATAACCTTTTTCCCCCATCCTGATGCTCGGTTTGAACTAAAGCAGTCTCGACCATGTCCACATGCCTAAATGCATTGAGTTGCTGCCATGTGATTGGCTGATTATAATATTATTTATTTACATTTTACATTTACATTTAGCAGACGCTTTTATCCAAAGCGACTTACAAATGAGGACAAGGAAGCAATTTACACAACTATAAGAGCAACAATGAATAAGCGCTATAGGCAAGTTTCAGGTCTGTAAAGTCTAAGAATGAAAGTATTAGTAGTATTAGTATTTTTTATTTTTTTTTGGGTACAGTTAGTGTGATATTCTGAGAGGCAATTGCAGATTAGGAAGTGAAGTGGAGACTAAATAGTTGAGTTTTTAGTCGTTTCTTGAAAATAGCGAGTGACTCTGCTGTTCTGATGCAGTTAGGGAGTTCATTCCACCAACTGGGCAGATTGAGCGTGAGCGTGAGAGTTTGCGAAAGTGATTTCTTCCCTCTTTAGGATGGAACCACGAGGCGACGTTCATTCACAGAACGCAAGTTTTACATCATACATTTACATCATAATATTATAAACAGCCAAATAAAAAGACACAAAATGCACTAAACTGCAACTGTGCACACTATACACAGAACATTATCAATATTTACTTCTGCAATAATGAAAAAAAAATTGAGATATTGTATAATCTGCATATATATAATTTCCATTTTCCTTTAACAATAATAATAATACATTTATGGCCAAAACGCCATCATATCATAAAAGCTTTGAGCATCGTGACAGAATACACTACCAAAAATTGTCACTAGGAGCTTCAGGCAATGTTTGGGTCTGTTTTCCTCAAAATGTGTCAACTCAATTAAACTAAATGAGATTTTATTCGAGATGTTTAGCCTCATCATGATGTTTTGGGGTGAGTAAATGATGGCATATTTTCTTTCTTTCTTTTTTTTTGGCTGAAATGTCCCTTTTAAAGACACAAACTTGAGTATAGCTAATGCAAACATGACGTTTTTAAATGTAAAGCTTTCCATCACTATTGAATTAATACACAGACTGATGATTACTAGTGAATGTATACTAGTTAGAGGAGGCCTTGAGTGCCTTTCCATTTCCCACAGAATTGTGTGCCTTTAGTTATCAGTTTTTAATGTGTATGAGACGAGCGTTTATGTACAAGCATGCGTTCTGCCACCATCAGTGTTTTAATGTTGCATCGCATGTAATGTTGCGTGCATTTGGCCATGAGATTTTTGACATAAATCGTAGCTATTTATGCAGACTTGTGCTTTTGTAGATTTTATCAGCTGGTTTAGAAGTCAGATAGTGATGTCACTTCCTCTGCTTGGTGCCATGAGGTGGTACACCATACATAAATCCAGCCCTGTGTTTACTGGTTGAGTGAGTGGTGATTTTATTAGCATGGTGTAGCTATTTCACTTGTAAAAGAATGCAGCAAAATGTGTTTTGGGTCATGTGGCATGACAAATTAAAAAAGAAAAACAGCTTGCAATAAGAATGGAAAGAGATTTGGAGATATACACAAGCATACACATATTAAAATAATTAAAAGACCACTTGAAAATTTGGATTTTCTCAAAAATCTTCAAGTTTTTAAACTTATTTTTGTTCTGTTGACATGTCTTTCTAATTTAAAGCACAAATGTTGTCAATTAGATCATTGCTTATAAAGATAAAAAGCTGCCATTTTTTTCAGATGTGTATTATTAATATCTAAACAACAAGAACAAAAAATGCTATAAGAATGGTAGTGTTATTAAAAAAAATTGGATGAGATGCTATTAGGCTACAGGTGTCAAACTCAGTTCCTGGAGGGCCACAGCTCTGCACAGTCTAGTTCCTACTCTAATTAAACAGACCTGATTAAACTAATTGAATCCTTCAGTCTTGTTTGAAACCTACAGGTGAGTGTGTTGGAGCAGGGTTGGAACTAAACTGTGCAGAGCTGCGGCCCTCCAGGAACTTGAACTGACACCTGTGTATTAGACAAAAGTGAAACAAATACATATGTTGTACTCAAACACACCCAATAAATCCTTTAAAATGTAAGTGGTCTTTAAAATATTTTTACCTAGCTGTATATTTATACATTTAATGTGTCAAAGACAAAAGTGATTTTTATAAATTGTCAAAATATAATTTTTTTCTCTGTTTCTCATATGCATAATTTTTTTTTTATTCTGAAAAAGTCACATTTTTGCTATCATTAACCATATTTATTTTTAAAAATCTTTCTGCTTTGCAATTGTAGGTTTTACCAATTTGCAACAATATCTACAATGTAAAAATATAAATAATCAATTAGTCCTGACAGCATATGTTTTTAGGTCATTGTAACTTATTAAAGTAAGGTAATCATGTTCTAACTTAATTTCATGAGTTATGCAAGCTGTTTAAGTCAGTTCAACATAATATAAGTTCAATGGATTGCTTAAAGGGGCTAACAATTGTGTCCCTAAAATGGCTTTTAAAAAATTAAAAACTGCTATTATTGTAGCCGAAATAAAACAAATAAGACTTTCTCCAGAAGAAAAAAAATTTTTTTTTAGACATACTGTAAAAATTTCCTTGCTCTGTTAAACATCATTTAGAAAAATTTTTAAAAAAGAAGAAAAAAAATCAAAGGAGGCCTAATAATTCTGACTTAAACTATATATATATATATATATATATATATATATATATATATATATATATATATATATATATATATACATACACACACACACACACAACCAGGATGATGATGAATGATTGATTCTTATATAGTATATAAAGTGGGGAAAATAAGTTTTGAATAATTAATGTTTTTTTCTGGGAAAATATTCTATAGGAGCTGTTGACATGGAATTGAACCAGATATTTGTAAAAACACAAACAATGCAAACATAAAAATATAACAAAATTTGAGTTTTGTGTAATAACAATGAAATGACACCAGGAGAAATACTGAACTGCTGAATTTGATACTTTATATAAAAGGCTTTTTGATGATGGCTGATTAAAGACGCTTCTCATATGGAGAATGAAGTCACATGCATTGCTCAGGTGTGAGTTTTTCACAGACTTCAACAGTGTAAAAATCTTGACGCTTCTGTGGGTCTATCAAATCTGAGCTTTATTTTGTCATTTCTATTGGATTCAAGTCAGGTAAATGGTTGGGCCATTCTACAGCTTTTTTTTATTGAGAGATTTTCTTTCTATGAAAGCATTTGAAAGTTTTTTGTATTTTGGATCATTGTCTTGCTGAAATATCCACCCTGGTTTCATCATCATCATCATCCTGCTAATGTAGGTGTTGAACTGAAGCAGCTGATACACTGATGAAGGGCAGAAAGTTGCTGAAGAACTGCTGAGAGATTTAAGCTGCTGTCTGGGCTTTCACTGCCGAACTACATCTCCCTTTAATTCATGTTCGGTAGTTTTTTCCAGTGCCGTTTTTTTTACATAACTTAATTTCTAAACTAATTAATATTGCTGTCTTTCCATATATGGAACTATTTAGTTATCAGCTTCCGGTGAAAATTTGAAGTCAACAGCACCTTTAGAAATGTTTCTGGGAAAAATGGTGACATGTTCAATACTTATTTCCCCCCACTGTACATATATGTTAAGAAGGTGAAATATGACCCAGATATTTCATTGTAAGTTTCATCAAAATTGCTAATTCTCTTTAAGATACTTTAATTCTGAAGCACATCTAATGTTAAATTAATCATCTGTATAATTGTCTAACAATTGGAACGATATGCCATGGGTTTTTCATTTAAGTAACAGGGCATTGTTAAAGAACTGGCAGTACAATACAAGTACAAGTAACATCCAAATAGATCAACTAAAATTGAAAAAGTATATGTTTAATGCTCTCGTTTGTGGAGTTCGTGCTGAAAAACAGACCCATTTCTGAAATCATCATCTGCATGTCTAAAGTGAGCCGTCTTAGCAAACGTGCTGCTCTAACATCAGTCTGCTGTGTGATCATATGGTCTCTTGGAAGTTTTAAATACGAGTTATTAATCCAGATTTTTATGAGTGCTCATAGTAACGATGCTTTGTAAACACGACTAGTGGTAAATGTTTGAATGAAGTGAAACCGAGCTATGCTAATAAACTTTTTTTGAGACAAAATTAACGTCGGATTTTTCTTCCTTTTGTGTTAAATTACGTGGAACGGAGTCATTTTAGGGTCATTTACTGTTGACAAATAAGTCTCTTTTCTCATTTTAGGTACTAATACAAACCATAAAGTTGTGCGTTGCATAAAACGTGCTGAATGTAACATAACATAAAATAAAATTTTTTTTAAATAATGTATAAATTGACAAAGCAAACTAATAATTGTTTTTGATTATTATCTAGAAAATGCAGGTTTTTATCGTTTTTACAAGCCATTTAAAGGTCCTGTGAATTTAAAACTAAAATTTAGATGTTAGTTTCATTATGTTCATTTTAAGGATATCTACACTCACCGGCCACTTTATTAGGTACACCTTACTAGAACCGGGTTGGACCCACTTCTGCCTCCAGAACTGCCTTAATTCTTTACGGCATGGATTCAACAAGGTACTGGAAATATTCCTCAGAGATTTTGGTGCATATTGACATGATAGCATCACACAGTTGCTGCAGCCTTGTTGGCTGCACATCCATGATGCGAGTCTCCCGTCGAATCTCTACTACATCCCAAACGTGCT